CTTATCTCTATTTCATTAAGGCTTTTTACTGAGGATTTATCTTGTTCCTTTGTTTGGAAAATATTCATTTGTTTCTTTCTTTTGTTTGACTCTCTGTGTTAGTTTCTATGCATTAGATGAAACAGCCACCTCTTGCAGTCTTGATGTAATGGCCTTGTGTAAGAGATGAAACTTATCGGTCAATCCTGATCCAGTTCTTGGTTGTTGCTGATTTTTTTTTTATTTCCTAAGCAGGCTATTTTATTTTTAATAGCTCCCAGTATTTGAGGGTGTGCCAAGACCTGTCAGTGTCCCAAAGGGGAGGATCACAGCACCTACATTCAGGCTGATTGGCAGGCAGAACCTCAGCCAGCAGCTTTTCAAATATGCAAATATACACAGTCCTGTGGGACTATAAATGTAAACTCTACTGGCCACCAGAGCCAGGTGATCTGGAGGTGTCCCTTGGGGGCAGTTGCAAAACTGAGGCCCTCAGGCAAGTGGATAAACTCCTTTCTAGGAGATACCAGTAAGCAGTATAAAGCAGAGGGAGAGTGCAAACATGGCATCCCCTGGCCTACATTCCCTGAAAACCCCTACATATGTTCCTAGACATGTGTCAAACCTAACGCCTGCCCCTGAGGATGAAGCTCTAGGACAAGAAATAGGCTTCTTTTACAGAAAGGCTGGGGGTCTGTTTGAGTTTGCTGTCTGTGCAGTGCCCTGGTGCGGTAGCCTGCTGACAACCATCTCTTAGATTATTACAGTCCCATAGGACCAGGAACACAAGTCCCCATGACCTTCAGAGCCAGGCAATCAAGAGGTATCCCTTGGGTGGCAGCCACAAAAAAAACGGCACCAATGTAAAAACTGGGGCAGCAAGTATGTATAAGAGCTTCCCTTTGATAGATGCTGTTGCTCTGGGGTGTGGCAGAGGGCAAGTGTGGAGACAGCACCTGCCTTCAGAGGTCTCTGGAAGGTTTACCTTCAGCCCTTACATATTTGTTTAATTAGAATCCTGCCCCTCGGGCTGCAGCAATGATAAGTCAATAGGCCACTTTCACAGCAAGACTGAGCTTGGTCTGTTACTTCTTGCTAGGCCCTGAGGCTGGTAGAGTTTAAGAACTCTGTATCCATTGGTTATAGTCCTGTAGGACCAGAGGGTGTTGCTAGCCACCAGTGCCTGGTGATGTAGAAATGTCCCATGATAGCAGTAATTATTAGGGAGTCATAAAAGGACATACACCTCTTTATGGAAGACAACATCAAGCTGGAGAGAGGCAGAGGGAGACTGTGGAGATGGTGCTTGCCAGCTGGAGTGAAGCGGAGGGAGTGAAAAGATGGCACCAGCTGAAAAGAGAGACCAAGACAGACAGATGGGCAGAGAAAGAACCAGAGATACTGACATACAGAAATATGAGATACAGGGAGAGAGCAGACACACAGAGCAGAGAGAGACAAAGGGAAAGTCACAAAAAGCAGACCTGAAAGAGAGTGAGAGACAGAGAATGAGACACAGAGAGCCAGAGATATAGAGACAAGGAGGGGCAGGGGAAAGAATGGGAAGGGAAAAAGATGGAGACGGACATGGAGATAAAGATGAGGATGGAGGCAGACACAACAGGGAGATTGGCACAGACCAGCACAGAGATATGGAGAGACAGTGAAAAAATGGAGACAGACAGAGCAAAGACAGAGATCCAGAAATCATAGACACAGTGTGCGAGACACAGAGACAGGCACAGTGATGGAGCGGGCGGCAGAGAGAGACACAAGACAGATACAGACAAATAGACCTGGAGAGAGAGAGATACAAGGACAGAGAGGCACAGATCAACAGGCACAGAGGACGATGAGGAGACAGAGAAAACGATACAGGGAGAGAAAGATGGAGAGAGACATGAAGCAAACACAGAACACAGAAAGAGAGAGAGAGCGCGCACAGATACAGAGAGACCAAGACATAGAAATAGACAGAGAGAAAGTGAGAGACAGGATGAGAAAGATAGAGAGACAGGGAAAGATATGGAGACGAAGATACAGAGAAAAGACGGAGCAGACACAGAGTCAAACAGACCAGAGATAGATAGATAGATACAGAGACAGACAGAGACACATAGTCAGACACTGAGAGAAGGACAGAGAGTATGAGAGATGGTGACAGAGATGGTGACACAGAGTGATGATGGAGAGGGAGAGCGATAGAGACAGTGAGGACAGAGACAAGAGCAGACACAGAGGAGAGACAGTGACAGATACAAAGACAGACAGACAAAGACAGAGACATGGATAAACATGCATAGAGACAGGGAGACAAAGATCGAGAGGGCCAGTGGTACGGCGGCTGATACAGGGTGAGGGAGATGGAGAAAGACAGTGCGTACAGAGCAAGTGTGAGACCAAGACTGAGAAACAGACACACTGTGACAAAGACAGATAGAGAAAGGACAGAGGTGACAGATTCAGACAGACCAGACAGAGAGAGATGGAAAGGGGTGAGCGAGACAATGAGAGAGGCAGTGGTACATAGATAGACAGATAGAGAGTGATGATGGAGGAAGATAGACACAGTGAGGACAAAGACAAAAGCAGACATACAGAGAGAAGAGAGAGACAGAGCAAGAGTGAGATAGAGACACAGAGACAGGGAAAGAGACACGGGCTGAGGGAGACAAAGACAGAGATGGCTAACAGAGCTGAGAGAAGACAGACAGAATGAGAGACAGAGAAAGAAACAATGAAACAGAGACAGACATGCAGAAAGACAGAAAGGGACAGAGATGCAGAGTCGGAGAAACAGGGCAGAGACAGTGAGCACAGAGACAGAGAGAAAGACAGGGAGAGACACAGAGCGAGACAGCATAGACAGAGCAAGCGAAACCGAGGCCAAGACAGAGAATCAAATAGCATGAAAGACACACAGACAGAATGAGAGACAGACACTGGGACAGAGACAGATACTGATGGAGAGATGGATGGAGAGCAAGGGAGCTGGGAAGTCCACACATACAAAGAGACGGGGCAAGGGAGACGAGACTCAGTCGGAAGACAGAGATGCATGGAGACTGAGACAGAAATGAGAGACCAAGACGGACAGAGAGAGAGATATGGCCAGAGAGACACAGAGACCAAGATGGAGAGATTGGGAGACAACAAAAAACAGATGGAGACAGAGTGAGCAGACAGAGACATACAGAGACTGAGAGAGATAGGGTGCTCACTGGCTTTGGCAAAGGGGATAGCACAATGATGGCACCCACCAGCTATTGTATAAAGATGGCACCCATGGGCAAAAAAAAAAAGAGAGAGATGGCTTCCTTTAGCAAGGCTGAGGGAAAGAACAAAAATGGTGCCTACCAGCCTCCATCTCTGGAATGTTGTCTATCTTTTATTTCTAGTCACTAGAAGCAGATTAAGAATTTAGCTTCCCACTTGGCTAAAACAGAAATCATTCCCATCTTCCCTGAAACTTCCTTTTAAAAGGCAGAAGAGGGCTGGCCGAGTGGCTCAGTTGGTTAAGAGCTTGCTCAAGAGTGCGAGCTCTGAGCAACAGTGGCTCGAGTCCGGCCCGAGCTGAGCAGCCACTGAGCTGCCAACAGTTGTCAGGATGGCTCAGCTAATGAGAGCACGTGCTCCTAACAACAAGGTTGCCTGTTCGAGATGGTGGGCTATGCCCACCCACAACTAAGACTGAACTAAAAAAAAAAAAAAAAGCAGAAGAAAGTATAGTCAGTTGGGATTTTGAATGAATTTTTTTCTTTGATCCATCTGTGTGAGGGGGAAAAAAAATTCATTTTAAATATTTCATTTAAAATTCATATGGCAGCATATATTCTGCCTCACATACAATCTCAAGATATCTAAACTAAAAAACCAAATCTGGAAAAGCAGCTGAGCGGGCTCATTTTGTTCAATGGGCTCAGCTTACTCATTTGTCTGCTTTCTTCATCCAAACATTTTGTATTGATATAAAACTCATATTTTTTTACACCGCTTAAATGCTAGTGAGGGAGAATATACAAAACATCAGACTTTTGAAACCACTTCAAAAATTTTTTTGGAATTATTGGGTTGTCGGAAATGTCATGACGTATTTTTTTCTATTTTTCCTTGCAAAAATGCGTCATGACTTTTCCAACAACTCAATATTTGAAGTACAAATTATAATTAACCAAGTCAGTATAACTACGGCGTGGACCAAGTTCAATCCTCTCTAACTGCAGTCCTGAGCTGGCTACTGAATGGATCAGAACTACAAAGTTTGGAAACATTTCAGTTAGCTTTGCTTAGTCCAGGCTTTTCCAGCCTCGGCTCTATTGCCATTTGGTGCTGGATAATTCTTTGTTGGGGGTATAGGGGCTCCTGTGCATTGGTCTCTACCAACTAGAGGGCAGAAGCCACTACCCCACTGTGACAACCAAAACTGTGTCCAGACATAGCCAGAATATCCCCTGTGGGGTAAAGTTGCCCATTGGTAACCACTGACCTAGTTCTAGTATGTATGTGGTTGTGCAATCCTAGTCTACAAACTTGGATTGACTCCAATTTAATGCAAAAAAAATCGGTGAGCATTGTTGTACATGCCTTGTAGCAACTGTTGAGGCATGGCACCATCGCAGGCCTAATATCTTCCAGACCATTATCTAAAGCACTGTTACTCAACCTGTCAAGCGCATACCAATCATCCGGGGGCCTTGCTAACAGTGTAGATTCTATTGGGTTGTCGGAAAAGTCACGACGTATTTTTTTTATGTTTTTCATTGCAAAAATGTGTCCTGACTTTTCTGACAACCCAAAATATAATTCAGTAGGTTTGGGGTTGAGTGTGGGATTCTCCATTTCTAATAAGATCCCATATGGTGCTGCTGGTCCAAGGGGCCAAACTTTGAGTAGCAAGGGTCTAGAAGGTGATTCAGTCCTTTGTGGTATTAAGTTTTTCTCTGCACACTGTAGGGCTCTGGTTAGTCCACCAGAACCATTGGCAGTCGGGTTTGACATGTTCTTCTCTTTGTCTGCCCTAGGTTGTTGCTGCGAATCCCACTGTATTCCTTCAGCATGGTGCTGGTAGATAAGCATGGCATGGACAAGGAGCGCTATGTCTCCCTGGTGACACCTGTGGCCCTCTTCAACCTGATTGACACTTTCCCCTTGAGGAAAGAGGAGATGGTCCTGCAAGCTGAAATGGGCCAGGCCTGCAACACCTGATGTGATGGTTCCTCTCACTGCAGACCCTCTTCATTCTACATAGTGCTATGCACACGGAAAGGCCTTAAAAATATCCTTGATGTACAGATTTTTATTTGTAATTTTTAAAGTCTATTTTATTATGACCTTTCTTTGAACTTAAAAATTAGCACGGTGCTTTTTGTACTTTGAAGTGTTCCAAAAAATATGACTATATTCACTATTTCTAACTCTCTTGACTCAATGATGGCCGGTTAATGTTGTAGAGGAATTAGAAACCACAACCGTACACATGCTTTCAATATGTTATTCAATGTGACAGGTAACTTTCTCCAATCTTGTTTTTTTTTATATAAAACTTTTACTAATAAAATATTTTGGAGCAAATTTATTAAAACTCATTTTGTTTTTCAAGCACCAGCCATACTTAGTGTGGTCAATGGTTTTAGGACTGTGATTCTTAGTGGTATTTTAAGAATGGAATAAATGGCAGTAGCACCAGATGCAGCAGCGACCTATCTAGCAGAGGTGGTGGAAAGTGAAATTCTGCCAGGCCACTTGGGCTGCAGCTGGATGGTCCCTTTGCTCTTCAGCAACACCCCAGATTTCTGAAGAGAGACCTCCCTGATTGGGAAGAGGGAAAGGAAGAAAGCAGACAGAGAGCTGAAGGCATGCCTTTCCTGCTGTCTGTCCTAGTATTCCAGCAAGAGATCCACCCACAGACCTCTGGAATACACCCTTCCCCCCAATAGGCCATGGGTAAACCCAAAGCCCCAAGTGCACACAAATCTCCCCCCACTCTAGCGCCACCTATTTTTTTCTTTTGCACCTCACCTTTGTTATGGGCACTTTCCCAACCTTAGGGATGAGTCAGCTCCCGTAAGAGAAACCAAACACTTTTCCTATAGTGCTACATTTTGGAAAACAAAAGAAAACCTTCTAACTACTATCCTGTTGAACTGTTAGAATCAAAGTAAATAAAGCTTTAACTAAATAAGAAAGGTATTCCCTACTTCAAATGTGGCAACAGAGGCATATTATATCAGACTGTGAAAAATCATAATATAGTATTAAAATAAGAAAATGCCAATCTCCAGCAACTAAACCCAAAGACAAAGAATATTCCCAAATCTGGGGAAGTAACTGGATCTACAAGTCCATGTAGTTAATAAAACACCTTATTATCTCAATGCAAAACCACCTTCTCCAAGATGCATTACAATAAAGTTGTCAAAAGACAATGATAAATCATTTTAAAATCAGCCAGTGAAAAGACAGTAAACTATAAAGAAGCCCCCCACCTCCCCAATTAGGTTATCACCAAGTTTCTCAGAAGAAACTACAAGCCAGGAGAGAGTGGAATGATATATTCAAAGTATTAAAAGATGAAATTGCCAGCCACGAATACTACATCTGGCAAAGTTAGCCTTCAGATGTGGAGAAATAAAAGCTTTCCCAGACAACAGCTAAGGGGGTTCACCACCACTACACCTGTCTTGCAAGAAATGTTTAAAGGAGCTCTTCAAGCTGAAATGAAAAGAGTAAAGTACACAATACTCTGATTAAGGTGATAAATAGAATTAGAAAATTATAACTTTTAGAATAGTAAGTTAAACAATTATAGCAAAAAGTTTAAAGGAAAAGAACATTGAAAATACAGCTACTACAATTTGGTAAACAAATCAGCATAGAGAGATAATTTGTGACAAACATCAAAAATATAAAAGTGGAGGAGTAAAAGGAGAGAATCTTTAGGCAAATGAAAATAAATTCCTATCAGCAGAAAAAGGACTATTATATCTATGGAATGTATTATGTTAACCTTCATGGTAACCACAAAGCAAATATATAGCAGAGACACAAAACAAAAGGGGGCAACTGAGCAAATCACCATGTAAAACCACCAACTTATAAAGGTAGATAGAGGAAAGAAACATTGGAGAGAAAATAAGCAGAAAGCAAAAGGTAAAACGGCGGTAGTAAATCTTTACATATCAACAATCACCTTAAATGTAAATGAATTAAGCTCACCACTCAAGGCACAGAGTACCTGGATGGATTAAAAAAACCAAAAACATGACCTAACTATGCTACCTATCGAATCATTTTCATCTCTAAACACATACATAGGCTCAAAGTGAAAGGATGGAAGGTGATATTCCAAACAAGCAGAAACCAAAAGAAAGTGGGCTTAGCCATACTTAAGACAAAATAGACTTCAGGCCAAAAAATGGAACGAGAAAAAGGTTATCATATAATTAAAAAGGAGTCAATAGCTCAAGAAAGCTCTGACAATCATAAATGTATTTGCTCCCAACACCTGAGTAGCAAAATATATCAAGCACATACTAACATATCTTAAGGGAACAACTGACATTACAATAATACTAGGGACTTCAAAACCCACTATCAGTAATAGATATATCATCCAGACAGTAAATCAGTACAGAAATATTAGATTTGGACCATACATGAGATAAATGGACTTGACATATAAAGAATATTCTATCCCAAAGCAGCAGAATACACATTCTTAACAAATGTACATAGAATATCCTCCTGGATAGATCATCTGTTAGGACACAAAACAAATCTTAGCAAATTTAAGATGGTTGAAATCATAGCAACTATCTTGTCTGACCACAAGGGTATGAAACTAGAAATCAACAGGAAAGTGAAAAGATCTACACATATACGGAAACTAAATCACCACTGGGTCAAAGAAAAAAATCAAAAGGGAAATTTTTTTAAAATCTCAAAAAAATGAAAATGTAACTAAAATGTATCAAATCATTTCTGGGAGGAAAGTTTATAGCAATAAATGCATATATTAGGAAATTAGACCTCAAATAAACAACCTAACTTGATACCTTAAGGAACTAGAAAAATAAAAAAGCCCAGAGTTAACAGAAGGAAGAATTTAACTCTGGGCTTTATTTGGTAGGTTGCCCCTACACTCTCTTCTGGTGCTTCAACCCAATAAGACTATCTTCATTTAAGCCTCCCCCAAGTCCAGCATGGTGCATACTGCAACCTGCCCTTATGCAAAAAAAAAAAAATCCTGATGACTTACCTAGTGTATTTGCCCTCTTCCAAGTGATGACCCTCCTCCAGTATCTGCCAGCACTCTCCAATGCCTTCAGGAAGTTTTTTTTGTTTGTTTGGGTTTTTTTTGTCCAGATATAGTTGTCTGCAGAAGGCTGGTCTAATAGGAGCTGCTTGGCCATTGTGAAAAGGCTAGTGAAGACAGCCAGAAGGTGGAGGAATCCAGGCCATTGCCAGAGAACTGCAGATTTCACCTCTACAAGCCCTCAATTTTTGGGCTTGAGCTTAGACTAATGGGGTGGGGAATGAAGGAGGGAAAAAAGCAGTGGGGTCATCCAAAGCAGACTGAAGAAAGGATTAATGTCCAAGATGTGGGTAACTATTAGCACCCATTCTGGCTTTAAAAATTATCCCAAAATTTAGTGGCTTAAAACAACAAAGACATTATTTAGGGCAGCTGCTTGGCTCGATAGTTAGAGCGCAGGCTCATAACACCAAGGTTGCCGGTTCAATCCCCACATGGCCAAGGAACTGCTGCCTCCACAACTACATTGAAGACAGCTACTTGACTTGGAGCTGATGGGTCCTGGAAAAACATACTGTTCCCCAATTTAAAAAAAATACATTATTTCTCACAATGTCTGTGGATCAGGGATTTGGGAGCAGCTTAACTGACCAGTTATGGCTTGTAGTCTCTCATGAGGTTGCAGTCAGATGTTGTCCACAGCTGCAGTCATCTGAAGGCTTGACTGGGGCTGGAGCATCTACTAACATGGCAGCTCACTCACATGACTGGCAGGTTGGTAACATTGGTTGGAAGAGGCCTCTGTTCATCCCCACTTGGGTCTCTACAAAGTTGCATAAGTGTTCTCATAACATGGTGGTTGGCTTCTTCCAGTGGAAGTAATCCAAGAGAGAGCAAAGTAGAAGTGACAAAATCTTTTATAACTTAGCCTCAGAAGACATACTGTTACTTCCATGGTGTTCTATTGGTCACACAGACCAGCCCAATTCAGTGTGGGAGGGGAGTATACAAGGGCATGGATAGCAAGAGGTGAGGATCGCTGGGGGCCAATTTAAAGACTGGCCTCCACAGCATCTAAAATCTTTTATTAATATATTGGAGAAGCATTCAATGATCTTGAGGACAAAACAGGCACAGTGTGGTAGATAATGCAGATAGATTTGCTTAACATGTATTCAACCTTTCTAGCATGCAGATAAGAGGCTTACAAACTACATTTCCCAGAATCCATTGCAGTTACAGTTGGGTTGTCATAAAGATGTGGTGGCAGGACAAGGTTGAGAGAGTTGACTATGATATTGAAAAAATGGATCATGTAATGGCCCATAAGGTCCAGGGTAAGTCTGAAAAGATGTATGGGCAGTAATGAGGCTGATATATTGCAAGAATACATGGCAGGGCTAATAATCTTAATGTGACTGAAAAATGGGTGTAAAGAGTATAAAGATAGGAAGCATTAAGAGGATGGGAAGTGACAGCCAGAGAATGGAAGATACATAACTGGAATTGTGATATTAGGGAGTTGGATGAGGTGTCCACATGGATAATGAGACCTGGCAAGAGTTAAGGCAGGGCAGAGGAAATAAATAAGATTCAAGTTCCACACTTATTGGGTTGTCAGAAAAGTTATGACGTATTTTTTCTGTTTTTCGTTGCAAAAATGCGTCATGACTTTTCTGACAACCCAATATAAGTGTGGAGGAGAGAACTGAATGTACATTGGTGATTATAACAGGAGGGTTGCAAAGAGTGATATGGTAGGTGGCAGTAATCTCAGAGAGAGCCTTTTGCTTAGATTAGGAAAGAATCAATTGAAAGGGGTAGTGGGAAACTGGGAGAATATTAATGCTATCTCTCAGCCAAGAGATACTGGAGTATGGAAGAAAGAACAATATCTTCTATAAAAAGTGATGCAGGAGAAAATGAGGATTTACTTAGAATTGTCTTGAAAAGATACCAAAGATATAGGAAGGTTAATTTACCATGAAATGTGCATGTGTGTGGCAGTGGTCCAGGAGGTATCACATAAAGGCCTGGAAGAAAGTTCAGCTGGGGTCATGAGAATGAAAGGACAATAGAGGGCTAGTGAGGGCACTGGCAAGGTGTCTCATGCTTACAATTGGAAGATGGTAGAAATAATAAGCACGGATGAACCTGACAGGCTTTGAGACTCCCATTTTCAGAGAACAATTGTTTTGGTGCTGGAACTCACCCTCATGGTGATTTCTTGGTAACCCATCCTAGACTCCAAATCAGGAAGAGCCGGGTCCAGACTCTCACCATCGCCAGAACTGACCCCATGATGGG